TGTGTCATTAAGTGGTTGGTATACTTGAATAAAAAAAATAAGTCGGTAAGGCTATCTAAAAAATAATATGCGAGACGTGTGAAAGTTACTCTATTTTGCTAAAGAATCCCTTCAGCTTGCTGATCTTGTAACCACATTCAGGACTAAATGTTTTGTCATTTTCATTCCTCTTTCTTGTAGTGTGAGAAGGCATATTTTTTTGTGTCTCATAGGAAATGGAATTATGGGGTATCCATGTGTCCATTGAATGTTTTAGATATGTTCCACAACTCTGTTGAAAAAGGAAACCCTTGTAATCTTATTCAAGAATGGATCTAAAATGTATTGTATGTGTTCTCCTAATTCTAGGGACATTCAATGAAGGAAGGATTTTTGTATGAAACCCAGAAAGCTGTTACCTCATCTAGTTGCATCTACATTTCCTCATTTGAGATTTGTTGTGATTGATACACCCTGATCATTTTTAATAGTAAATGTCTCAAAATAACATTCTCAAAGGTATATGTGGATATGGGGTTCTTCAGGCCCAAATGAAGGACTCGACTGAGTGCACTGTTGGTTACAAGAGGCAATTGACGCAGCCTTGAGGATTCATTTCTCGTAAAATGAAATGTTGAAGAATGTCAAACTCTTTAGTTAGGTCGGTGAAGTGTAATTATGCCACACTCACTAAAACACTTATGTAAATTACAAATAAGATTACTCTGGTGTGACAAGAACTGTGATGACAAGGTGCATGTGGGACACCACTTGTAACTGATTTAGGTATTGAGAGACTGGCTGTGATTCTGATCATGAAACTTCAGTGATGAAGATCCACGAGTGCAGCTCTCTTCTAATTCCAGTGGTGTGAAATTTAAGAAATAATCTTTCATGAGATATTGTGTTGAAGGCTTTCGCATTATCAAAATATATCACATTCTATGTATTGGTTTACCTAGTAAAGTGTTTTAGATCAATTATTTAATAAGCATATGAGGTACTTGTGATGAATCAAAAGGTACAAACACATGTTGGTACGAGGTTGTTACTTAATGGCATATTCTCATATCTTTGCTAGTAGTCTCCATGACTTTCCCCTCTGCGTTTGATATGCCTATAGTTTCTTGATGAGTTTCTCCTTTCTTAAGTATTGGGATAACAGTGGGAATATATATTTTTTATATTGTATATTTTTGGAGTATATTTCTAAGATTATGGTATACAACCATTCCTTTTTTTCTGAAGTTCCTATTCAGAAGTATCTGAGCTGTTTACTATCTGTGATAATTTTGTCATCTTTCTTTTCATATGTTGCAAGGCTGCTGATTTGAGTTAATTTGTTGTTAGATACATGCATATAACTTTTTTCCATCAATTTCCTGTTCATGTTCAGATCTCGATCATTTGGCAATCATGGCAAGGATGTATATACAATTACTCTGTACTCTGATCCCAGTACAGTCACTTGTAAGTTACTAAAGTTAAATGTTTCTTCCTAGCTGGTTGAACAAGTAAACAGTTATTCCAGTTTTTTTATTGATTTTCTTTACCTTCATTGGAGAGGTTGCACTAAAGTAGAAACAGTTGACAGATACTCACAACTGTCATTGTTTATCAATGGGGCATTAACTAGGGGTGTCCTTTATAGTTTCTTTCACATGATTATTTTTGAGAATGAGGATGATTATGGAAAGGAAGAATGAAATTGTGATTCAGTATCCATGATGGTGACTGGTTGACCAAATTTTATCTATGGTAACATTGTTGATCATTTTCATTTCACATGTGTCTTACTTCAAGTACAGAGTAGCAGGGAAGGGAATGGAAATATGGCGTCTTGAATCCAGAAATTGTGAAGGTGTATAGAAGTAGTTCTATGCAACACTAGATATGTAATTGAGTATGCAGGAAAGGAGGCACAAATTGCTGTGTTACATTTTTGTCAGAAACATGAAACTTTTTTTGCATTTATTTTTTATTAAGATAGTCAAATTTTTTTGTTTTACCATGTCTTCTTGCATTTTAAACATTAAATTTATATTTGATACATACTATCATTTTTCTTTTTATGTTTTTTTGTTAATGTATTTGCTACTATATGTTCTTTCACAGGTTGTGGAAGATGGATATGAATTTTTTGCAAAACGTCAGCTTGTCACATTGTTTTCGGCACCCAACTACTGTGGAGAATTTGATAATGCTGGAGGAATGATGTCAGTGGATGAAACTCTTATGTGTTCATTCCAGGTAAGTTGCAGTACCACACAATTGTATGAGAAACTTAAGTTGCAATGATAAATATCTACTAATGGGAGTTAAGTAGCCAATCAGGATGTCTAAGATTCTAAAGACAGGCATGTCTTGGCGATCTGAGAATGGAAGGTCAGAAGTTCAAATTTTGCCTTAGCACAGATAGTAGACTGGAGTTTATGGCAGGGTGGGTTCTCCCACCCACCGTGAGTCACCTTTCAATGTCATAGCTCTGTGGGTGTTTGAGGAGCTTGGGAAAGCTAAGTGTACACTGGACCTGCGTGGGCATTTCCTCTAGTATTTTTGATGAAACTTGGCTACTGGGTAACGTGCTTCTGAGTCTCGGTGGTACAGTAAGTTGATGTGGTCATTGCTTTTGCCAATTTAAGTTACACATGTAAGGCCTTGCAGATTTTGCCGAGAATGAATTAGGTAACAATAATACCTCAGATACTACATTGAATTATGATATGCAAGATATAGTCACATGACATTTGGAGAGCTTCAGTCTTAATAGTGATAGTTCAGACGTGTGAAAAAAATAGTGTCAGAGGAAGAGACATAGGCATAATCCTAGGGCTCTTAAAGACACAGAACAAGATTAGAGTTATTATTAAATTATTTCATGCCTCATCTTCATGTGCATCCAGCATATGGCTGAAAAGAAGTTACCTGTCAGGTGAAACGGAGGAGTTAGCATGGCTATCCAAGCGAGAATTATTGTGACTAGAAATTTTTAAAAACTATTTTAAAAAAGAGTCAATCTATCGAGCATATCCGTGGATGATATTGAGAACAATATCGATGTTGAATATCTCGCCTGCCTACATCTCGTGTATGGATGTTTTTGATGCAATTGCGAAATTACAGGATAAAGCAGATTTTGGCCAAGGTTGGATTCCAAATATTTTTGTTAAACATTGTATTGTTAATTTAACTCCGATGGTTGACTGTCTCTCTTCTGAGTCACTTTGGCGGTACATTCCCAGATGTGTTGAAAAGGAGTTTCTTAACACCGTTCTTCTTCTAACACCGACCGGGGATTGATCATATATGCAAAATTACAAACAAATATTAAAGCTTAACGTCATTCCTAAACTTTTTAGAAAAATATTACTACCCCCCCTTTCTTTCTATTTAAACCAAATTCTTATTGATGAACTACATGAAAAAAGAAAAAGAAAAAAAAAATGAAAAAAAACAGAGAGAGAAAAACTTAACCAATACTAATTTAGGTCTAAATGAATTTATTTTTACATGTGGATACAGTTTTTATAGATTTTCAAAAGCTTTTGACACTTACTGAAGAATATGGCTTGTTAAAGTAATTGAGATACCTAGTTCTGTTTTAAAGCAGTTGAAGGAGGGGAAATAGAGAAAACTTTAGAGAGATTATTTTTTTGGTAGAACTATAAAGTGTCAAATTTAAATCTTTGTGATCTACTGGTATTATGATGAATGACTTGTGGATTAATAGGCATGAATAATTGTAGATATAGGCATTTCAAAAGGCACCCAAATTTTTCTTTATTGATATACTCATGTAGAAAGTTTGTGAAATAACATAATATAGTTACCTTCATGGAATGTTTGCTTTCATGATTCTTGTGACAAATCCTTGTAGATTTCCTTTCTTTCATTGTTAGGGAATTCAGGCAAAGAAGGCTGAATCACAGTGGCTATCGTTTCTAAAGATTTAACACAATAATCTCTTTCATCAATATTGTACTTTTGCAATGGTAATTTTTTGTTGTTTGCAATTTTCAAACATACAAAGAGTTTGCCGACAATGTGACCAAATCCACTTTTTATACCGCTCATTGGTGACACAGAAAAGGAACGCAAAGAACACAAGGAAAAAGTTTGTAGCGGTTTATGAGAAAATTCTTGCTTAAAAATTGCGTATGTTTCATGCAGAATTCTACAAAAACTACTCATGTTTTTGAAAAATTGAACACTACTTCAAGATCTAAGATTTATTAAGAAAACAAATGTCTATTTTCATTCTTGTAATTCCAATCTGTGCGTGTTTGTGTCTGTCTGTCTGGGTGTGTTTGTGGTCCTGTCTGTCTGGGTTGTTTGTGTCTGTCTGTCTGGGTGTGTTTGTGTCTGTCTGTCTGGGTATGTGTTTGTGTCTGTCTGGGTGTGTTTGTGTCGTGTCTGGGGTGTGTTTGTGTCTGTCTGGGTGTGTTTGTGTCTGTACGGGTGTGTTTGTGTCGTCTGGGTGTTAGTGTCTGTCTGGCTGTGTTTGTGGTCTGTCTGGCGTGTTGTGTTGTGTCTGTCTGGGTTGTGTTTGTGTCGTGTCTGGATGTGTTTGTGTCTGTCTGGGTGTGTTTGTGTCTGTCTGTGTGTTTGTGTCGTCTTGGGTGTGTTTGTGTCTGTCTGGGTGGTTTGTGTCTGGTTCTGGCCGTGCTGATTGTGTCTGTCTGGGTATGTGTTGTGTCTTGTCTGTTGGTGTGTTTGTGTCTGTCTGGGTGTGTTTGTGTCTGTCTGGCGTGTTTTTGTGTCTGTCTGGGTCATGTGTTTGTGTTCTGTCTGGGTGTGTTTGTGTCTGTCTGGCGTTGATGTTTGTGTCTGTCTGGGGATGTGTTTGTGTACTGTGCTGGGTGGGTGTGGGCGTCTGCTTCTGGTCGTGTGTTTGTGTCTGTCTGGGTGTGTTGTGTCTGTCTGGGTGTGTTTGTGTCTGTCTGTGTGTTTGTGTCTGTCTGGGGTGTGGTTTGATGTCTGTCTGTGCGTGTTTGTGTCTGTCTGTGCGGTTGTGTCTGTCTGGTTGTGTTTGTGACTCTGTCTGTCTGGCGGTCTGGGTCTTGTGTTTGTGACTCTGTCTGTCTGTCTGGGTTGTTTGTGACTCTGTCTGTCTGTCTGTCGATGTGTGTTGTGACTCTGTCTGTCTGTGTGTGTCTTTTTTTTTTTTTTTTTACGTGGGCAGGGGAAAATCTTTCCAAAGACACAGCGGGGCCCGCAACCCGCAGCGTGTGGGATTCATAGCTAGCCTATGCCTACCCACTAAAAACCCCTCCCTTTCCTCCTATTCCTTCCCGCGGAACCGCCGTCCAGGCATTGCATCGCGGAAAGAAAGGATGGCTTTTCGCAGTCACCGAAATATTACGGGAGTCTTCTCGTAACTGCGCTCGGAGCGGCAGCGTCTTCAGACCTTTGCGGCATAGGTGGCTACCGCTCTCCTATACTCTTGTGTCAGCAGCATGCCTAGTGACGATTTGGTCTCTCAGGGGTCACTTCCCTTGGAGGAGTCTGTGAAGTTCTTCCCTGTTCACTGCGAAGCGTGACAATGAAAGAACACGTCTTTGTCTGTCTGTCTTTTGTTGAGTGTCTGTCGTGTGTGTCTGTGTCTGTCTGTGTTGGTCTGTGTTCTGTCTGTTGTCTGTGTATGTCTGTCTGTGTGTTGTGTCTGTCTGTCTGTGTGTTTTGTGTGTCTGTTGTCTTTTGTTTGACTGTCTGTTGTCTGTCTGTCTGTGGTGTGTTTGTGACTCTGTCTGGTCTGTCTGTCTGTGTGTGTTTGTGACTGTCTGTCTGTCTGTTGTGTGTGTTTGTGGACTGTCTGTTGTCGTTTGTGTGTTGTGTTCTGTCTGTTGTGGTGTGTGTGTGTCTGTTCTTGTGTGTGTGTGTTTGTGTCTGTCTGTGTGTGTGTTGTTTGTGTCTGTCTGTGTGTGTGTTGTCTGTGTTTGTGTCTGTCTGAGTGTGAGTCGTTGTCGTCTGTCTGTCTGTGGTGAGCTTTGTGTCTGTCTGTCTGTGTGAGCGTTTGTGTCTGTCTGTCTGTGTGAGCGGTTTGTGTCTGTCTGTGCTGTGTGAGCGTTTGTGTCTGTCTGTCTGTGTGAGCGTTTGTGTCTGTCTGTCTGTGTGAGCGTTTGTGTCTGTCTGTCTGTGTTGAGCGTTTGTGTCTGTCTGTCTGTTGTGACGTTTTGTTTGTCTGTCTTGTGTGAGCGTTTGTGTCTGTCTGTCTGTGCCTGTGAGCGTTTGTGTCTGTCTGTCTGTGTGAGCGTTTGTGTCTGTCTGTCGTTGAGCGTTGTGTCTGTCTGTCTGCTTCGTGCAGCGTTTGTGTCTGTCTGTCTGTTGTGAGCGTTTTTGTGTTGTCTGTCTGTGTGGCTGTTGTTGTCTGTCTCTCTGTCTGTGTGTTGTCTCTCTGTGTCTGTGTGTCTGTCTCTCTGTCTGTGTGTCTGTCTCTCTGTCTGTGTGCTGTCTCTCTGTCTGTCTGTCTTCTGTCTCTCTGTCTGTGTGTCTGTCTCTCTGTCTGTGCTGTCTGTCTCTCTGTCTGTGTGTTCTGTCTCTCTGTCTGTGCTGTCTGTTCTCTCCGTCTGGTGTCTGTCTCTCTGTCTGTGTGTCTGTCTCTCTGTCTGTGTGTCGTGTCTCTGTCTGTGTCTGTCTCTGTTGTGTGTCTGTCTCTGTCTGTGTGTCTGTCTCTCTGTCTGCTGTGTCTGTCTCTCTGTCTGTGTGTCTCTGTCTGTGTGTCTCTCTGTGTCTGTGTGTCTGTCTCTCGTCTGTGTGGTCTGTCTCTCTGATCGTGGTGTCGTCTCTCTTCTGTTGTCTGTCTGTGTGCTTTTCATAATTTTCTTCTTAGATATAGCAATGCATGGTTATAAAAAAGATGCAGGGTTGATTTTTGTTTAATTCTCTGAAATTAGAAATTGTTATATGTTAACAGATAACACGATAAAGTATTGGTAGCACTCCTACTTCAATTAATTTTATTAATAGAAAAGGGGAGATCAAAGTTGTAATTGTGATAAAGCAAAGAGATAATCTTGAATGAATCACTTTTCTTGTTATATTAGAAGTCTCATTTTCTTCCTCCTATATATATCTTGTTGAATGTCTATTTTCATTATTAACATGGTAAAAATAATTTAAATGTTTATTTCAGATTTTGAAACCATCAGAAAAGAAGGCTAAGTACCAGTATGCGGGAATGAACTCTGGCCGACCATCAACTGCACAGAGAAATCCCATCAAGAAGAAGTAATTTTCGGTTAGTGTTCCAGAACTTGTCATTTACAGTGGGGGGGGTAAAGTTCTTAGCATGTGGCATCTGCTTCCCCCTCCCTTGGTGCTATTCTTTCCTTGGGTTTCCTTGGCTCTTTTCTTCTCATCATAAACACTCAAATTCACCCTAGAAAGCTTGAACAAAGTACCACCCCCAAAACAATTGGTGTAAGTAGTCATTAAGACCAGTGTTAATGTGACTTTGAAAGTAACTTTACTAGTTAAAGTAAAAACAACATACTATAAACAGCAACTTCTTGATTACATAATGCACTATATATTTATCACTTTTTGCTCTTAATTGTGATATTACTGTGATGAAACTTCAGTAAGTTGCTGCAGGGACAAAAATTTGCCTATTTTTCATAATTGAGAACTCTTAGAAAGACCTAATACTGAGAAGTCACAGGTCTTGCTTAAATAATAGAGCAGCATTTATAGAACATGAATGAAAAACAAATTGTTTATTTATTTTTAAAATTCTTTATGAGCACACTGATCCATTTAATCATAAATTTAACAATAATTATTATAACAACCAATATTACATACATTGCAAGGAATAGAAATCATGTTTCATTTCAATAACAAAGATTACTTACATTCTTGATTTAAAAATTACTATTGAAACATCTAAACTGGTTTTCCATTTCATAACAAAATGTGGAGCATGCAGGATCTCAAACCAATATCATATCAAGATCATTTGCTATTTTACAAAATCACAGTACTGAGTTGTTGACAGTGTGTGAGGTGCTATAATTGAATCATGTATTTTCTAGAATTTACAATTATTTTTAATCATTTAAATTTTGCAAGTTAATTTGAGGAACATGTTGAGAAAACACATAAATAATATTACATTCTTTTATCAACTTCAGTATCAGTATAACAATGGTCTTTCATCAATCTTATCATTCATTTTACAACTATGAAAAATAAATTGTGAAAAAAATTGTATTTTCAGAATTGCACAGACTTTTACTCATTATGAAGATTCAGTTCTGAGTGCTTTAACATCTCTTCCTTGTAGATAAATAGGCTAATTTAGCTCTGATGCAGCATTATCACCCATTATCTGAAGCATCTCAGAACCAGGAAGTCCTTGATTTCCCAGAGAGGAGGATTTCCAAAACTAGCCAGATAGCTAGGTTGAATTCACTCTGTCTGGTAGAGAAGTCTCACTGCTGACTGATCTGGTTGTTTTCATTTTCAGTTACAAACATCGTGCGTGCAATTTCCCATCCTTATTCTTGTCCCATTCACTAAAGCATGCACGCTCACTTTCCCACTCCACCTCCCCTTCCACTCACACACTCCTTCCAATCTCTCTCCTCTCCTCTCCTCTCATTTCTCTCTCTCTCTCCTCTCTCTCTCTCCTCTCTTCTTCTTCTCTCGTCTCCTCTCTCTCTCTCTCTCCTCTCTTTCTCCCTCTCCTCTATGGGGTGGTGGAGAATTCTAGTTGCCGGCTTCTCTGATAGGTAGTTGTCCATGGTTTCTCATATCAGCAGCAGGTGAGTGATAGAGCAGTACCCTACATGGTTCACAATCTCTGTGTCATATGCTTCCTTATTACCTGCACACACTATACTAACATGCTTGTCAGGAGCTGAGAACTTGTCCTGTTTGGGGTGGTGCCCAGCTGGTACCTCTTTAGGGAAAACCTTCAAGTAGACGTTCAGATGACAGTCAAATCTCTTCATCCAGTCGGGGAGGATCATCACCACCTGTCTTGATAAAAACATAGGCTACTCTGATGTGAGGAGAGAGAGAGGCTGGCCTTAGCAGTTGGCTTTTAGTTGCAGTTAGCGGGAAATTAATAAAAAATAAAAATGTGTTTTGGCCCTTGACTTTGACTAAAGTGTGAGTAACACATTAATTCTTCTTTTTCAGGTGTTGGAGGGAGCAAAACAGAAGACCAGGACCCTGACCTACAGACTCCTGTTTTCTAATCACAATCTTTGAATCTGTGATGCTGATGTATTTTGCTATGAAGAGTGATCACAATTCTCACACATAAACACAAATACACCCACACACATTTATACATACACACAAGAGTACACAGAAATATACACGTATCTTTTGATTAGGCTTTTCCTGTGTTTCCACTTGTCCCTTCTTTTTATTTACTTTTTTTTTATTTTCAAATTTTTTCTAGTCCCAATTTCTATTGTCCTTCCATTCCTCTTTTACTTCCTACCGACATACAGTGGGAAGTGGAGTTGGACCACCTACAAATTCGTTTTTCCAACCCCCACCTTTGAGTTGCATTTAAAATTTTGTTATTCAGTAATATGTCTGTGGTTGTGCATTTGTTTTAAATCACGACAATTCCCAGTTGTTTTTATTTTGCTTGGTGGCTAGTTGGTTAGCTGATGCTTTCTATATTGCTGTTTTTCAGTGTTTTAAGGTGGTGTTTTCATTGACAAATACGTTACTTGTTGCCATTTGTATAGCTACATATCTGCACTTTTTCTTTCAGCTGCAATGTAAAAATTATTTTACTTTGTATTGTATAGTGAGATAGACCAACCTCCTAGGTTAATGTCTGTATTGATGTACATTCGGATTGAACTGTAATGTAAACAAATCCCTCTATGATAGATTACCTTTGTGTGCCTGGGAAAATTGTTACCATACTTATGAAAAGATATTTTATCAAGATTTAACAGACTACTTTGTGTATGCACTTAGCATAATAATGTTTTGATTCAAGCTTGTCAGTCTTGTCGCATGGAGCCAGAAGTGTCCTTGTAGAATGTGAATTGGATTCAATTGAAGCCAGGTTTGGTGACCATAGTCATTTTTTAGTGATAAAGTATATTTGTGTTTTTTGTATTCCTTTGTTTTTATTGGTATTATGGGGAAATTTTTTAAAGTAGTATGCAAAAGTGGCGTGACTGAAACTGAAATTCAAATGATCTGGTGGTTTGACTACTCGAGACACTGTACTTCCTAATGTTCGGTGGTTTAATAGAGTTGACTGAATCAATCACCAATGCCTTTGGTATTAGTGTCTGAGATATTGTTTTCTTAGTTTCTTGTGTGGATTGTTTTTTGGTTTTGTTTAGTTTCCTCTTGCTGAACATTTTCTACTAGAGATTTAGAAATAAAAGTAATAGAGAAGTATTTTATCTATAATATATAATGGATAATAATGTATCAAATAATTAAGCTGACATAAATTATACAGAGATGTGAGCAATATTTTTCTTAAAAATACTGCAGAAAAATAAGAAGTCATTTTACCATATTTTTATTATCTTTCTCTTAGTTTAAATTAATTTCATTCTGTGTTCTTGAAAGATTCATATACATCAAATACTGAATTGAAATTTTATATTAGAGTTGGGAACAATATTCAACGGTTCTGAACTTGAGAATGCTTTTCACATGATAATTTCATAACTTTGGTAACAATTTTACTGTGCCTATCTTGTTGAGAGGGCAAGCTGTGTTCAAAAACTGGCATTTATTAAAGATTTTCTTCCGTTTTATAATCAAACTTCCACAAGGTGCAACTTGTATAAAGTTACTATTGAAGGAATTGTCTTGTAAAAAGGAGTAGGTTTAATAAGACGATTAGAAAAATCATCTTAAAAGGGAAGTATCTTTTTAACAGATTTGTCTTGTACAGGATCTGCAAATATCCATTTATGCAGCTTTTGGTTTTATGTATTTGCCTTCTGAAGTTATTTCATTAGAAAAAGTATTAATGCTATAGGAGTGTATTCTGGCTGAAAGGAAAAATATATCCTTTGTGATATTGTAAATAATTCAGAACTATGGGCATGAAGTAACGTTTTCTTCTTTTCTTATTTTTATTCTTTTTTATTCTGATAGCCTTTCTCATACACAAATGAATTTTCCATATCAAGTAGAAAAATGCCAAAGAGGAGGATTGATTAATTTATTTTTTGTCGATAGAGTGCTTAAAACAAAAATTTCACAGGATGTCTGTTAAGACATGGTAATTTGTTGGTGCTCTTGAGTTTGGTGCACACTAACAAATTTATATTGTTTCAATGGACCGAGAAATTACTTTTCTTTTCAAGTAAGCCTTTTTGTTGTTGTTTTTTTTTTTTTTAGATATTATTTGCTAACCATGCATTTATTTACATTTATCCATGTAAATGTTTCTAAACTAATTCTGATTATATATTATGTGTTTGTAAAGAATATCAGATTCTTAGTTTGGAGTCTTTATTTCTGTCTAGTGCAAATCGTCTTGAGAGAAGGTTATAAAATATCTAATTTGATGTAGAAATATTCTCACAAAAGGTAATTCTGGAATGCTCATACAGTCAGTAAATTTCCCGTTTCCCTTGTATTAACATTGCTAATCACTTGAAAAGTGACAGTATTCTGTACTGTCAAGATGAAGACATTAAATTATTAAAAATTCTTCCATTCGTAGGTACTGCACCTTGTTAATGATAAAACTGTATGCATAATTGTAATGTTGTTGTGAAGCAATAGTTCTTTTTTTGCTGTGATAAATAGGATTTTCAGTTTCATCAAAGGCTACTTGAAGGAAAAGATAGTTTCTGGTGTGCCTAAAAATTATGGTTTTTTGGTCAAATGAATTCTCTGAATTGAATGTACATATAAGTTTGTAATACCTTATGTTGTGTTTGTTGATAGTTTACAGTACATCCTGTGTAACACAACCTAGAATTATGAAAATAATTGGAAATGGGATTTGTGGTTAAATTTTCATTCTTGAGATTATAGCATTAAATATATATATAATCAGGAAATCATGGATTTCTTGAATTCAATATTTTTTTCTTAAAACCAGTGTTGTGAATGGACGTCTTCTATTTTTTCCTCCGTATATTGGAGCAAGTTGCAGTATTTTTACTTTTAAACTTTGTTGTGAGAGATTTCTCTCTTTTTGCCATTTGTTGGCTTGACTATTATCATATTATAGTTGTTCGAATTTATATATTTTTTGCTTTATTGTGTTTTACTTTGCTTGTTTAAAAAGTAAGTGTAGGCACCTATGTTGCCATAGTGGCTTTTAAATATAACTGCTATTATGCACTTAACGTTAATAAAAGCCCAAGAAGGGCTGATTTTTCAGTCAATTTGCTGAAAAGAGAGAAGTATTGGATAAGAATTTCTGGGATCAATCAACTGAAAGGCGTGTGTGAATAAGCAAAGATTTGTCTGTGCTACCATACATTAAGCTAGGTCTGTTTCTCTTCTTTAGCATATGTTTTTCCCTACATTTAGGTGCTTTTATATCTGTTGGATCTCCAGGATACGTTTGTTTAGCTATTGTTGGATTATATAATTAAAAAAAGTTTTATTGCTGAGACAGTATTTGAAATATATTTATCATTTCATTTAAGAAAAGGAATGAGTGATAAATGACATAAGTAAATTACAATATTAAATACAAATATATAAATTACAATATCTGAGGACTGTTAGACTGAGGATGTTTTTTTTATCAAAACTTCTGCTATTCCATGGCTTATTTTGGGTTTAGTTAAATTTCGAGTGTTTTATTGTGAAAAAAATTCTACATATTGCCCTCTTTTTATCTGTTAGGTATGTTTTGGGTACTGAAGAGAATACTTTGTCAAGATTTGAGATATCTTACATTCAAATCAATGTCTGCTAAGTTGACCTGTAGAAAAAGGAGCCATTTCAAACCATCCTTGTGTACTCCTTTTGGTCTCCTGTAAGTGATCAGAAGCATCCATGCGATGTCACCAGTGTGTCCCATTACACAATTTCCTTTTCATTTGGCCTATTGAAAGAAAAGTTATTCTATAATCTGAACAACCAGAGATGTAGAAGTCCAAAAGTTGATGAGTTAAAAGATCACACATTTAATGTTAAAACAACTTCCTTTGTTTATTTTTAACTGAAAGGAAGAATATCTCAAGAACCCTTGGAAATGGATATTATGTGAATAAATAAAATGATAGTCCAAATGTGTTCTTTGTTCTTTTACTTTCATTGTACTGTTTCCTTATGAATTGCTCACACATTCCCATTAGATGTTCCCATGTTATAAGAAATACTATGTTTAAGTCGTTGTTCTTGTGGTACAGTTGCGGCATGTCCCGCTTTTTTGAAAAAACAGGCGACCATCTGTTTGGAAGTGCTTCGTGCGTGGACAACTTTTTGTTGGGACTTTTGCTCATCTTGAAACCACCATCCAGTACGACTGCTGTTTACTTTTCGACTCCATACGCGTAAATCACGATTCATCACCTGTCACGATGACATAGTAGTGTTTTCGAAGCACCGCGATCGTATTTTTTGAGCATTTCTTTCGACCAATCGACACGAGCCTATTTTGAGCGATTGACAAATGTGTGGATCCAACGCGAACAAATTTTTTGCAGTCAAATGCTCATGCAATATTGAATGTATGCTAGTCCCACTAATGCCTAAGGGTCTCAATCTCACGATAGTTTGCACATGACGATCTTGCAATGTCAGTTCACGCACAGCATCAATGGTTTTCGGAACAACTGATTTTGGATGACCTTCGCGAAATTCGTCTTGGATTGAAGTACGACCACGATTGAATTAACCATACCATCGATAAACACTGGTCCTTGGAGCTTCGTCGCCAAAAATTGAAGTTCATCCATGCACTGTTACTGAGTTAATCCACGTCGAAAGTTGTAAAAAAATCGCACGAAAATGTTCATGATGTAATTCCATTTTTGGGCCAAGATGAATCTTTTAAGTTACTGTAAACAACACAATGTGTCAAAGCGTTCTGAGTACGTATAACCTCAAAACATCCAACTACGATAGAGCTGTCAGTTGCCAGATTGCAACACCAGGGTTGCCAAATCCTGAAACATAAAAGGCAACCTTCGTATATGAACCGAAGAAAAAAAATTGCTGTCAGATGCAACTGAGATACATCATAGCTGAATGCCTGATGTTTGGAAAACAATTTGTGTGGAAGAGGTACTGCAAGTTTCACAGAAATGCATGCATTTGCACTTACTTTTCATTGAGTCTCCCCAAAGTCATATGAATTTGTCAGAAGAAACGGTAATATATTCATAAAATTATTTTGCTTCTTATAATAGTCATGTCACAAATTTAAACTTTGAAATAAATAAAACAGTCCATCTGAAAAAATAGTTTGTATTATTTGATTACCTTAAATGAGAAAAGAAAAGTGTTCCCTCTTTGGATTGCCTTTTCCTTAGATCTGTAAGAAATGTTATATAAATTATATATGTTTATTTTTTTTAAAATAAAATATTGAATTTGCATTAGAAAAATATGTTTTGGAAATATGTTCAATTTTATTTGAATTCAGGAAAACTATATTTGAGCAGATTTATAATTTTATTGTCTATGAATTTATCCACAGTTCCATTATTAAAGTCCTGACTGCTTCGGTTCAGGGGAAATGGAATTAAAACTTATTATTAGATTTGCTCAGGCAATTTGTTACCATTTCCTGCCGGATTTTTTTAAATTCTCAGGCTCTTTCCAAATACACAAACTTAATTACTTTCTTAAATTTTGAACACGATTATCAGTTTTCACATTATCAATTTAAGTAACATGAGCTCCTGGCATTATGAACTCAAGTGTCATATTTCAAATCGTTATCAAAAGGTCTTACATTCAGAGTGTGTTCCCTGTTAGCATTGTTCTTTTTCTTCCTTTCTTCTTCCTCTTTTTCTTCTTTTCGTTTCTTTTCTTGTTCTTCTTCTTCCTCTTCTTTTTCTTTCTTGTTCTTCTCTTCTTCTTCTTCCTCTTTCGTTCTCACTCCCATGAAGTGGAAAGGTACCAAATCTATTTCAAGAATACGTGTCATGAAGCACATGAATTAAATTCTAATTAACTTCTCATTCTAATGAAACAATTTTTTAAAATATTTCTTCTGCTACTTAATGAGTTTGGAGAGGTTGGAGGGAGGAAAATTTTACAGGGCTGTTTTGCTTTATTCTGAATATTTCTGTCAATTACAATTTTATATATATATATATATATATATAATATTTTATATATATATATATATATATATATATATATATATAATATATATATGTAACTCTGCAGAAATATATTCTTGCAGCGTAATTGCGTCAAACCATGTGACGGGATAGTGACAATTATATATAATATATACAAGGAGTGATAATCGCGCTCGTGAAAACTCTTCAAAGCATTGGTTGTCTCGGTAGCTTAGGGGTTAGGGCGTAAACCGGAAGGCCCGGACAGCCACTTCTTTGAACGAATTTAATTATAAATATATTACTGTTTGAGAAGACATTGATGTTCGAGACATGTTGGTTCCCGCCAATGCCTTTCAATCGTTTGCTGCATGTTCTTGTTTATTGGGTCACATTCATAGTAACAGAAGTTGCTGCCAGGAGCATCCGAAGCCGATATCCCAGGCATGGCGACGCGCGCGCTTTCGTCCGGTGAGTTACGTCTGTGGGACTGAAATGTAATTAAATTTATTCGTTTGTCTGGAATACTTGTCAATGGCAACAGTGAAGTTCGAGCGAGTTGTTAGCTACAGCAGCGAAGATCCCGTGAGTTGTTAATGTAGTGTTTTCTTATGTTCGTTAGTAATGTAGTTCAATGACGTGTTCTTAAGAGTGCTCGTTAGCGCACATGGTCATGTTATTATGTTCTTAACCTCCAATTGTAATGTGACGGTAATGACTCAAATATTTGCAGAAATATCCCGCCGAGAACTTATTGAAATTTGGGAACAAGTGGAAATGCAAAAGCCCTGGCGAAGCAAACGCTACTGTCATTCTTCAACTTGACCAACTTCTTGTAATAGAATCAATTGATATTGGAAATGAGCATTCGGCGTTCATCCATGTGCTGGTTGGGCGGGCAGCATCAGATGACTATGAGGTACCATTATTTTCCAGGAAATTTTTTGAACAAGTTTCAAAATAATGTTGATTCCTTTATATTGCAGGGCCCACTTAGTGAATAATCTTGTCATTGACAACCGCTAGAAGTTATTGTTTAAGAAAAAAAGTTATTTTATTGTTTGCTTGAGTACATAAGCCTCTTTTGGTGTTTTATTATGTATGTGTTATCATGTTGATCTTGACCTCGAATTAAAATACTTTTGGAGAATCATGATGGTAGGTCAATAGAAAGCCTTTTTTCCTACAGTGACAACATTTATTTGGCCTGCATCAGGGCTTTGACGTGCACAATATATGTAAAAAGTAGTAATGAAATTAACAGATTATGATAAAATTACCAATTGCTCAAGAAAAATTAATTTTTATTTTTCACACAATTTACCTTAATGAAAGACAGAAAACTGTTAACTGCAGTGGCATGTTGCTTTAATGCACATAATCGGTGTGCAATGTATGTATTTACAAAAAATTTCTGTCTTGCAACTGCGAACCTGACTCCTTCAAATGAAAGCATAGGCTTCCAAGGCCAGAGCCCATCTGTTTGGCTGTTCTGAAAATGCTGCACGACTGTCAAAACGACATCTGTGCCTGTCAAAATGACATCTGTGTCTCCGGGGCAGCCAAGTAGTTAGATTGTGTTGTCAACTATGCAGATATGAAAACACTGTTTACCAGGTTCCAGTTAGAGGAATTTTTATTCAAAAAATTATTATTATTAAATTATTGTTGTTTTTATAAATAGTATATAATTATTGCCAAAATGCAAATAATTAGTTAATGGTATTATCATGTGAGCAATCAGAACATGAATATAAGACCAGGAAGACAATGAAATGGCATGGAGCACAAGGGCGAGAAGAGGGGAGGGAGAAAACCTCACACAGGAGAAAATTATAAAAAAATCAAAATTGACACAAACCTAGTGAAGCAATGAATATAAATGTGGTGTTATCCATGTTAATTATAACTGTAAATGCCAAAACTGTCAATAAAACCCTTATGTGTTCGTAATCTAAAAATTAGACACCATTTGCTTGTATCAATTCATTTAAATCTATACTGTCTTACTGAAGTATTGCAACGTTAGCTCTTTAAAACTAAGTCTCTGTTTTTTACTATCAAAAAGATAATGTTGCAGTATTTCAGAAAGAGAATATAGTTATAGATTTTAATGAATTAATGCTAGTAAATGGTGTTGAATTTTAGGGTTTAAAAAAAATATTTTTATTTTGTTTTGTATTGATTGCTTAGTGTTTCTGTGCACGTCAACTGGTAGGGTCATTAGTCCTTTTAGTGTAGTAAATGCTTTTATCGCGGAAGGTGACAGTAATCTCCTGCTGGATGACGAGATCTGGTACTAACCTATGCGTTGGCTTGTGGACTCTGCCCAACTAGGTGTCTCTTGCTAGAGGGTCATCACCCCATTAGCACAAGCTCTAAGCTCACAACATGTTGGTAAGTATAAGTTGTGGGGTGAGAATAGTACAAAAAAAGAGGAAGGAGAGATAGCCCAAGGTCTATGGCCTGTTTATTAGGGTTCTGCTCTGACATTTACCAAGTGTTGATTCGAGAAGCCAATAAAAAGGACCGATCAGAGCAGTAATAGAATATAGTGGTTGAAATCCTGCCACCTGTTGGGACTCAAACCCTTGGAACTGATCAGAGGCCCTAAATTTATACCCTGAGCCACGTAAGTGGAGCAGTTTTGGAATTTACAGTAGTAATTAATATGGAACAACACTGCATGTTAATCATTTGAATTAGTTTGTGTCAATTTCTATTTTATTATTTCCTCCCATGTTATCCCC